GTTAGCCGGTAAAGTAGGTGTAAGTACCAACTAAAAATGAATCAGCTGTTGTTGAGGCTGGACACTTACTTTAGAATTTTACAGCACAGCGATACCGCGGCCTCGTACCACCGGGACGGGAAGGAAGAAGAACACGTATACTCGTATTGCGGTGGACTACAGCCATAAGCTTCAAATTCTCGAGCGGCTTGAGAACAGAGACACAGTAGGCGAGGATATCAGTGCGTTCTACCCCAACATCAACAAAGCAGAAGAAAAGAAAACAGAAGCAGATATCGAAATGGAAAAAAGCAAGCTAATTTTATTAAGTCTGTGTGTGAAGAAGGCAAAGGGCGCTTAGAGAACTACCGTAGGCGATGCGACAGTTCTCCCAGCTCAGGCGGAGAGCGACATCGTACTTTGGCTTAACACGATGAGGAAGGAAGGCTGCCCGGTATCAGCTAAAATGCTGGAACTCAAGGTGCTTGAAGTTGCCGGTATTTCTAGCGAAAGCTTCAGCGCTTCGTATTCATGGAGGCGGCGCTTTATGCGTAGGCACAAGCTTTCGGTACGTGTGCGGAGGCGACAGGGCCAAACCACTCCTGAGGATGCTGTAGCAGCGAGGACCAAATTTCGTGGAGAAGTTCGGGCGGATATCGTTGAGCACAACATCATACAGGTCTTTCACGCGGACTAGACAGGTATGCATTATATAGATTACAGTTCACTAAAGCTCTCTAATGCTGTACGGAAGCTGTGTTCTTTGAATACATACATCGCAAGACTATCACCACGCGAGGTGAGAAGACTGTATGGGTGAAGTGCAGTGGCAAAGATAAGGAGCGAGCAACAGCAATGCTTTTGGCAGATTGGCACCGCAACAAGCGGGCTCCCTTCCTGGTGTTCAAGGCCGATGTTTCCCGCCATCGACATGTACAAGAAGAAAACGATTCTAAACGGCATGACTTTGGCGCCCGCTTGTGGAAAGAGATTGCTCCTCTTCAAGCGAAGCATGACTGCCAAATCTATGGGAACCCTACTGCCTGATGGAATACCAATATCTCGGTTAAGTTCTTGGACTATCACTTTGGCCACCGAGACAACATGCATGAGAAGATCATCCTTCTGTGGGGTGACTTCTCGGGACATTGGACCGAAGAGGTCACTCAGTACGCTGCCTCAATCAACGTTGTCCTTCTTAAA